GAGACTATAGAGACAAAGACAGATTTTAATTTGTTCAAGGACACAGAGGATGATTCAATGATGATGCATACAAACTGTATTTGCTGGTATTTGTATGGGGTTCATCTTAGGAAGTTGGTTGGATGATTTGTGGTTTATGTAAACGAATATCGCATTTCACGGACAGACAATTGTTGTAAACCATGGAAAAAGTCAAATGTGACCCTGGACCGCAAAATCAGTCATACGTGTCAATTTTTCGAAATTGAGATTTATACATCATCTGAAAGCTGAATAAATAAGCTTTCCATTGATGCATGGTTTGTTAGGATAGGACAATATTTGGACAAAATACAACTTTTTGAAAATCTGGAATCTGAGGGTGCAACAAAATCAAAATATTGAGAAAATCGCCTTTAAAGTTGTCCATATGAAGTCCTTAGCAATGCATATTACTAATCAAAAATTAAGTTTTGATATATTTACAGTAGGAAATTTACAAAATATCTTCATAGAACATGATCTTTTCTTAATATCCTAATTTTTGGCATAAAAGAAAAATTTATAATTTTGACACATAAAATATATTTTTGGTTATTGCTACTAATATACCCGTGCAACTTAAGACTGGTTTTGTGGTCCAGAGTCACAAATATAAGATATAGCTATAGTGGTTAGGGATTCTGGATGTCAATAATGACTGTTCTTGCAAGTCTACTTTGTTCTTGCAACTGTAAGATACTTTGGATAAAATCAACAACTGAACGATAATGAATAAATATTGAACAATAATTTTGTGAATTTAAGAGCTTGCCATAACTTTAGAGGTATGTCTCTGTGTAGGGAAGTTCTTTAGAGGGACAAACGCTTGCATATTCTTTGGGTAATCGTTTCAGGCAGCTTCAGGCGATCATTCAGCCATAAGACGATGCAGCTGTGGTTGTTGGCACACACAGCAGCTTCTCAGTGTGGCTGCCGCACAAACCAAACAAAGCTTTCTGTACCCACCTACTTACCGTTAAATTGCTTTCAACTATAGTAATATGTGAAGCTCAGTGCATATACTTGACTGTCTGAGATCCATGGAAATGTTACACTTAGAAAAGATTATGGATATTACAGTTGTTAACAATACATCTGTTTCACTGTATAAGACAGGTTTCCCTGAAGTGCTAATGTGTCTCTGAGAGTTCATTTTCCTTAATTTACTTCTTAATTAACTTAATTTCCTTTTAAACTTATAGTGGCTTTTCCTCAACACTTTTCTCTATTTAGTGATGAAGTGTGTGACCCACAGGGTCTAGAGAAGGATGTAAAGTTTTCTTTACAGTCACTCCTTTCACTCCCTTTCTTGTTGCTTTTGGCCTCTTGACATTAATGTAGGATGGGTGGCCGGTAACATTGTGGGAAGTCCAGCATTGTAAGATGCTTGGATCCCATTTTTCAAACTCAACTAATTTTCAGGCGTAAGTGAATCAGTGAGTAAATACACTACTGTTCAAAAGTTTATGGTGGATAAGAATCTTTAGAAAGGTTTTTGAAAGAGATCTTTTATGCTCGCCAAGGCTATACATTTTTGTTTTATTTTTTATCAAAGCAGTAATATTTTAAAATAGTATTACAATTTAAAATAACTTACTTTTCAGTACATTTTAAAAATGTGTTATTGTATTGACAAAGCTGAATTTTTAGCAGTCATTACTCCAATTTTTAGTGTCCTTCAGAAATTCTAATATGCTGATTTGCTGCTCAAGGAATATTTCTCATTGTTATCAATGTTGAAAATATTTGTGTCGCTTAATCTTTTTGCGCAAACTGTGATATTTTTTTCTAGGATTCTATTGATGAGTAGAAAGTTCAAATGACAGCATTTATTTGAAATACAAATCTTTTGAAACGTTAACACACAAATTTCATGCACACTTGCTGAATAAAAGTATTAATTAAAATGTATTATTAAAAATATAATTCATTTATTAAAAATCTTACTGACAGCAAACTAGTGCAAAATCCTGTAAAATGCTGCAAATTAACAATGCAATAAAAAGTTTGCTTGTCTGAGAACTGCAGGGAACTTTTCTCTACTTTTTAACTTCTGCTTTATATCTTCTGAATTACTCAATATATAAAAATAAAATAAAACCAGACTGATCTCAAAATGGCATATGATGCAATTTGAAGCAGCTTCCTAAAATAATAATAACATGATTTTTAAGAAATGTTCATGTGTGACTACATTGATCAATTACATAGACTACAGTTTATATTTAAATGTATATTATTTTTATATTTAGATACTGAAGCTAAAAGAGGAAGGTTTATGGAGAACTTGCAATCATGTCAACCTATCCACCTCTGACTCCCTCAGGGCCGAGGCAGTATTAAGAGCAGGAGGTTGTAAAAATCACACGGTAGTGCTCTACAGACAAAAGAGGATCCACTACTGTGTGCTCAATCGGTGTTCCCACAGTCACCACAGAAGACAATATCATTACAGTCTGTCCCAATTTACCACATCACTCACAATTCACAGGATTGGCCATTTTTTTTACTGTCATTTCCCACCTATTGCTGGGGCTTTACTGCAGACGTCACCCATTGAGTTATTGTCAGGCTCAGACAAGGGTACTGCAGACTGTTAGTCTCTAATGATCTGTGCATCCAAAGTGTTGTAGTTTACACCTCTAAACATGAGGAGATGTGATAGCATTACATGCAGCCATATTTAGGATACATTTTACTGTGTAGGGTAGTTCTTTTATTTTACAAATACCTTGTTGTTAAAGGCATTCTGTCTAAAGTGATGCTATGACATTCTTTACAAATATCAAGGAAATATTTCATCCATATAAAAAACAGCACACTTTTCCCTGTAGTTTTGTAGAGCACAAAAATAGTTTTGGTAGCCACAAATCAATTTGAATGTACAGCATTTAGCTCATTTTCTTTTAAGGGTTATCGTGACACAAGTCAGACAAGTTTAATTTACGCTGAGACACAGATTCAGCAGCCTTTTAACTAGAATTCACCTGTAGCAGGTGGAGGTAAAATAAGCCAACACACCTGGATATTCAGCAGGTGCCTTCATTCACATAACCATGGCTATAATGCTGTTCACCTTCTCAACTGCTTAATTCCTCATTTCTAGTGTGGTAACTGTGGTGTCTGTCCACTTTTGGCTGTGTGTATGGGGTTTTAAGTAGGATATTCTTAAAAGTCATGACTGTGTCATAATTTTATAGACAATGGTTGCTAGAACTCATTAGCTTTACAGTAAATTTAAATACTACCATTTAAAAAGTTTGGATTTGATTTATACATACCAAGGCTGCATTTATTCAGTCAAAGCGACAACAATTTTATGAAATATTATTACAATTTAAAATAACTGTTTT